TGTACGCCTGAGTATAGATTAAGGTTGGCTCTTCAGGATAAATTTGCCTTCTAAAAGATCACCTAGGATAATGGAGGAAAAGCTTCCATCTATCCTTACTAAAAATAAAATCTCTGGGCTTAATGGAACACAAGATGTCTCCCTTGCATGAGATATAATGCAGCTGGGGCAGAATTCTCTGATGGGTTTTTATCAAAAAATGCCCTAGTCTCCATCTCATTCCCTGAAGCACTGGGTAGCTGCCAATTTATTCAGAATCTGTAGGCATCTGGTAAAGCTCTGGTTTGATTGCCTTGGTCAGGTTGGATAGAAGTAGACCCAGACATTGCTCTTCTAGGCATGGCTTCTCTGTTATTGCCTTGAAGTTTATCCACTCTGTAAGTTCAATCGCCTTGAAAATTACCCTTAGTTTTCCATCGCTCACGTTACCTTAGTCAGTTTCTTAGCTATTTGGATTTTGTGTGGAATATTTATCAAATTAAATCACACCAATGGGCCACGAGATCCATGAACTATAAATACATTTATAGTTAATCATCTGACTAAATTCTTTTCTGAGAGAAAAAAATATATCAAAAAGGCTATCTTCTAGGAGTTTCCAGATTGTGAAAATGCAGATGTCAGCATTCTGTGATATCCATTTAACAGGGCTCTGTCTAGCCTCGAATGGGAGAAAGAGCCTTAGAGAAAAGTGTTAATCCTTGGTAACCAAAAAGTTAAGTGCCTTTTTTGGGGGGGGGGGGGAGGTTGGGGTTTTTTTTTTCAGGACTAAACATAAACAGAGGTAATTTTAGAGTTAATCAGATTTCAAAGCATATAGGATTTTTTTTAAATTTTATTTATTTATTTATTTGAGAGAGAGAGAGCATGAGCAGGGGGGAGGAGCAGAGGGAGAGGGAAAAGCAGATTCCCCACGGAGGAGGGATCCTGACGCAGTGCTCCATCCCAGGACCCCGGGATCATGACCTGAGCCAAAGGCAGATGCTTAACGGACTGAGCCTCCCAGCTGCCCCAAAGCATATAGATTTTTTCAGTCTACATTTGTTTATATCACGACAATGCTTTTTTATTTATTATTTTTTTAAAGATTATTTATTTATTTAAGACAGACAGAGAGAGAGAGAGAGAGCACAAGCAAGGAAGAGGGTCAGAGGGAGAGGGAGAAGCAAACTCCCCACTGAGCATGGAGCCAGATGCAGGGCTTGATCCCAGGACCCTGAGATCATGACCTGAGCTGAAGGCAGATATTTAACAGACTGAACCACCCATGTGCCCCGACAATGCTTTTTAAGTAAGAGATTCTTGACCATACCATTTATTTGTGGAAGTTTCTTCATGGATAAGAGGACTGCCCCAGGTAGACAGAGATTGATTTGAATCAGTTTGTTTATTCACAAAAAGAGAAAGGCTTAATGTTTTAATATCTTTTATCTGTGAAAAACTTTCAAACGCTCAAAATGGTCTATGAACATTTCTAACATGATACCTTTTCAACTTAAAAACTCAAAAAACATGTGAGAACTTATTAATGATGACAAAGCCCAAGTGAGAGTTTTAAAATAAGTAAATGATGCATAAAATTATAAAACTGTACAAATATTTTACAAGCAGACATACCATTGCCCAAATACCATCCAATACCAAATACCATTCCTCACAGAATCTCCTGTGGGCTCTTGGAGAGGAATAAGACAAGCTTTCTGCTGTAGAAACACACAAGAGACAAAGGAGGAACTGATGGTAGAGGATACCAGGTGGAGGTCTGAAAGATAGGTAAGCCTCAGAACTTTCTTTAAACAGAAACTCTCAGAACAACAAAAATCTATACAGCTTCCCTCTATCCCCAGGGCTTACAGTGGAGTCTCTTTCACAGCTGCCTGATACTGGTGGTCACATTGAGCAGGAGCCCCAGCTTTAGAAGTAACATAGTAGAAGTATAAAAGTGTCACTTAGCAATATGTTATGTCTTGTCTTATTCTCTTATTGTATGGCATATTGTTTTTTCTGTGTTATTGTGGTCTCATCAACTAGAATATGTGGGCAGGGATGACATATAATACCTCTTTAAGGCAAAAAGAGAGATATATTATCTCATGTAACCAAATGCTGAAGCCAGGGGTTTGAATTCTATCAACCTGTTTTCCCTCCACCTTCTGTTCTCTTTTCTCTTTGCTTCTTTCTCTGCATGCCAGTCCTATGCTCTTGGGTCACCTCTAAACATGGCTTCTACAGCTTCCAGGCTCATATCTCAGCTTTGACATCAGAACAGAATTGAATCAAGTAACAATTTCTGTATTTGTAGTAAAAACACAACACCATGCTCAATTTCTACCTAAGAGTGATTGCATCTTGAAAAACTTTAGTCCATAGGTGAAATGTCAACACAGAAATCCTGAGTGTTGTAAAATACATAAGAGATTTTTTTCAGTTAACTTGTACAAATAAAATATGAATGTCAGGAATGATATAGTAATAAGGCAAATGAAAACATCATGGGTCTCAGGTGAGAATGTAAAGTGGCACAACCACTTTGGATAATAGATTTGCAGTTTCTTAAAAAGTTAAACATATATCTATCATAAAAATCTAACTTTTTCACTCCTAAGTATTTATCCAAGGAAAACGAAGCATATATTCACAGAATTATATGTATACCGATATTTATAGAAATCATATATGTAATAGTGTAAAACTGGCAATAACCCAAATGTTCATTAACAGTGGATGGATAAACAAATTGTGGTATATCCATACAATGAAATACTACTAAGCAATAAAAAGGAATGAACTGTTGATACATACTACAGCATAAATAAATCTCAAAATAATTATATCCATTGAAGGAAGTCAAAAAGAAAAAAAAAATGGGCGCCAGGGTGGCTCAGTTGGTTAAGCGACTGCCTTCGGCTCAGGTCATGATCCTGGAGTCCTGGGATTGAGTCCTGCATCGGGCTCCCTGCTCAGCAGGGAGTCTGCTTCTCCCTCTGACCCTCCTCCCTCTCATGCTCTCTGTCTCTCATTCTCTCTTGCAAATAAATAAAATCTTTAAAAAAAAAAGTACATATTGTATGATTCTACTTATTTAAAGGTATAGAAAGCAAACTAATCTATAGTGACAGAAAACAGATGGATGGTTGCCTGGAGGAGTGGGGGTAGACTGAAGAAGAGTAGAAGGGAGAGAGCATAATAGAGCATATGAAAATATTTGGCAGTGATTGACATGTTCATTGTCTTGACTGCAGTGATGGTTTCACGGTGCTTCATGGTTAAAAACATTTCAAATCATACACTTTAAATATATACATTTTAATGTGGGCCAACTAAACCAAAATAAAACTGTTAAAAATTTTGTAGAAGTCAACTAAAGCAATGCTTAAAAAAATTATAGTAATAAAGGCTTACATTAGAAATGAAGAAAGGTCTCTGGGATGCCTGGATGGCTCAGTCAGTAAAGCATCAGAGTCTTGATTTGGGCTCAGGTCATGATCTCAGGGTCATGAGATGGATCCCTGCATCAGACTCCTTGCTCAGTGGGGAGTCTGCTTGAGTTTCTTTCTCTCCCTCTCCCTCTGCCCCACCCCTCCATGCTCTTGCTCTCTCTCTCTCTTTCTCTCTAAAATAATAAATAAGTAAATCTTAAAAAAAAATGAAGAAAGGTCTCTGCTCAATAATCAATGCTTCCACCATAAGAAACTAGAAACAAGTAGAACAAATAAAGCCCAAAACTAGCAGAAGAAAATATATAATTAGGAACAAAATTAATGAAATTGAAAAAATAAAAACAAAAAAGTTAATAAAACCAAAGATCCATAAAATTAGTAAACTTCTAGCTAGACTGATCAAGGAAAAAAAATGACCAAATGTCTAATTATTAAGGTAATTGAACTAGACATTAGAAGACTTCCCCCAAAACCTCCAGCCCAGATATCTTTACAATTGAATTCTATCAAGTATTTATGAAAGAAATAATATAAATTCTAGAAAAATTCTCCAAAAAAAAAAAAAAAGAATAGGAAGGTACATTTCCTAACCCATTTTATGGGTCAACATTACCCTGATCCTAAAACCAGACAAAAGACATATCAAAAAAAAAAAGAAAAAGAAAACTACGGATCAATATCCCTTGTGGGCATTGACGTGAACATCTTTGACAAAATTTTAACAAGTGGAATCTGGTAATAAATAAAATTAATAATACTTCATGATCAAAATAGTTTCTTCTCAGGAATTCAAGGTTTGTTCAACATTCAAAAACTAATCAATGTAATTCACCATATCAACAGACTAAAAAGAAAAAATAACATATAATTATATCCTTTGATGAAGAAAACTTTTGTCAGCATTCAATATCTTTATTGATAAAAATTCTCAGCAAACTGGGAATGGAAGAAAATGTCCTTAAAATAATAAAGGGTCTCTATAGAGAAACTTCAGCTAATATCAGACTTAATTGTAAAAAAGCCTGAATGCTGTTTCCATAGATCAGGAACAAAACAAGGATGTCTATTGTCATCACTTGCACTCAACATTGTACTATAGATTCTAAACCTATAGGGTTTTCTTAATGTCAGCACTACTGATGTTTTGGGCCTAATAACTCTTTGTTGGCTATCTAGGATGTTTAGCGGCACCTTGTCTCTTACTCAATAGACACCACTGGCCTGTTCTCCAGTTTTGTCAACCAAAAATGTCCCCAGACATTGCCAAATGTCCTCTGAGGTGGGAACAGCATTCCTCCCAATCTGAGAATCATTGTTCTAGACAGTGGAAATGAAAATGGAAGGAGGGAAAGAAGGAAAGATGGAAAGATGGAAAGAAGGATAAAAGAAAAAAAACAGATTGAAAGAAAGAAGTAAAATTGTATTTATTAGCAGCCAACACATGATTGTCTATGAAGAAAATCCTCAAAAGTTGCCAAAAAAGAGGTACAAGATAATAGTAAGTGTGCTTAGCAAAGTTGTAGAATACAAATCAATATACAAAAATCAATTTTATTTCTATATAGTATAAATATATAATTAAAAAGTGATATTTAAAATTACCATTACAGGGACGCCTGGGTGGCTCAGTCGTTAAGCGTCTGCCTTCGGCTCAGGTCATGATCCCAGGGTCCTGGGATCGAGCCCCGCATCAGGCTGCCCGCTCCGCGGGAAGCCTGTTTCTCTCTCTCCCTCTCCCCCTGCTTGTGATCCTGCTCTCACTGTGTCTCTCTCTGTCAAATAAATAAATAAAATCTTTAAAAAAAAAAAAAATTACCATTACAATAACATTAAATACCTGAAATACTTAAGGATAAATTTAGCAAAACATGTGCATGACATATACATCAGAAACTATAGCACCAAAAGTTAAAAAGTTAAAAACTAAAGTTAAAAAGACCTAAATAAATGGGAGATAAACCATTTTTATGGATCAGAAGACCTGATACTAAGATGTCAGTTTTCCCCAATTGTTCTAAAAAATCAATTGCAAACCCAGTCAAAATGCTTTTTCTTGGTAGAGATTGAAAAGTTAATTCTAAAATGTATATGGAAATTCAGAGGACCTAAAATAGAAAAATCAAGTTGGAGGACTTACACTCCCTGTTTTTAAGCCCATAAAGCTACATTACTCAAGATAAAACAGTGTTGACAAAAGGATAGACATATAGATCAATGGGAGAGAATTGAGAATCCAGAAGTAGACTATAATGGTGCCAAGTATTTCAGTGGGTAAAGTATATTTTTTATCAACAAATAGTGCTAGAACAATTAGATATTTACCATTAGAAAGATGAAACTTGACCCTTACTTTCACCATACAGAAAAATTTATTCAAAATTGATCATAGACCTAAAAGTACTAAAACTAAAATCCTTTTGGAAGAACACAGGAGCAAATCTTTGTGACCTTCAGCTAAACAAAGATATCCTAGATTGGACCCAAAAATCTGCAAATGATAAAAATAATTGATATACTGGAGTCCAACAAAATTAATTTTGCTCATTAAAAACAGTACTTAAAACATGAAATGGCAAGCCACAGACTGGGAGAAAATATTTCCAAAAAACTATATCTGACAAAGAATCTGTACAAAATGCAAAATACAAAAGCACATTTACATCTCAGTGTTGAAAAGATGAACAATATAAAAATATAAGCAGGGCGCCTGGGTGGCTCAGACGGTTAAGGGTTTGCCTTCGGCTCAGGTCATGACCTCAGGGTCCTGGGATCAAGTCCCGCATCGGGCTCCCTGCTCCTTGGGAGCCTGCTTCTCCCTCTGCCTCTCTCTCTCTCTCATGAATAAATAAATAAAATCTTTAAAAAAATATATAAGCAAAATTTTAATACTCATGTCACCAAAGTAGAAATGTAGACGATAAACAAGCACAGAAAAAGGTGCTCAAGATCATTTGTCTTTAGGGTAATGCAAACAAAATCACAGTAATATACCAATACATAGGCATTAGTATAGCAAAAATTTAAAAAACTGACCGTAACAAATGTTGGCAAGCATATGTATATGGAGCAACTGGTGCTCATACACATTGCCAGATAGCCCACCAACTCTACTCTTTGTTTTTACTAGAGAGAAATAAAAACATAAGTCTACTCCAAAACTTGTACTCAAATGTTTATAGCGGATTTATTTATAATAGCCCCAAACTGGAAACAACTCAAATTTCCATCAACTAGAAATATTTTTAATCAGACCTAATTTTGAAAAATGAACAAACATGTTCAGTTCTGATTGGAAAGTTTAGAATCACATGTTTTTCTCAACTTTCATAGTCATAGCCAGATGTCTTAATTGTCAATTAAAAAGTTTTGATTTTTGCTAAAATTTAGAAGACACTCCTCTAGGGTCCATTAGTACCATTCTTATAAAGGGAAGAAGAATGAGGCTCTGTGGGTTTCATTCTTAGTAATTGTCATACAAATAGCATAATGCTAAAAGCAACTTTAAGAAGGGCCTCCAAACAAATGCAATCTCCATTTAGTTTATTTTTATTTTTAACTGAACTGTAGTTGACATATAATATTAAATTAGATTCAGGTGAACAACATAAGCATTCAACAGTTATATTGGAATGCTCACCACAATAGCATATTATAGTATTACTGACTATATTCCTTCTGCTGTACTTTTCATCCCCATGACTTATTTCTTTTATAACTGGAAGATTGTGCCTCTGAATCCCCTTCACCATTTTGCCTGACCCCCTTCTCCTTTGGCAACCACCAGTTTTTTCTCTATATTTATGAATCTGTTTCTCTTTTTTTTTTTTTTTAAAGATTTTTTTATTAATTTATTTGAGAGAGAGAGAATGAGAGACAGAGAGCATGAGAGGGAGGAAGGTCAGAGGGAGAAGCAGACTCCCTGCCGAGCAGGGAGCCCGATGCGGGACTCGATCCCGGGACTCCAGGATCATGACCTGAGCCGAAGGCAGTCGCTTAACCAACTGAGCCACCCAGGTGCCCCTCTGTTTCTCTTTTTTATAACCAGTCTTCCCTGTGTTTCTTTCTACATATCTTGATAGGAGGGAACATTTCCAAGTGGACGCTCATTCCCTGGGCCCTGCAGAGAAACCCCAGCTTATATGACCCGGTTTGAGTCATCAGTACCCCATGTCCTTGTTCGTGCAGTAGCAGTGCTTTCTGAATCATTTTGATGAGAAACCAATTAGAAGAAAATATGAGAACCAGTTGGGCAGCAGCTTTTCCTCTGAAGTGCGTTAGTATGAAAACCCAGGATCTGGTGTGGGCAATTTTCAATCTTTGAACACACACACACATACTACTTTTAATACAAAGTTGTCACTTGAGCAAAAAACTTACATTTTTAGCTGATCCAATGACGAGAAGCTCTTTGGCACGGACTTAATAAAACTTTCGTATAAAACCAGTGAGTAACTGCCAGAGCTTCCATACAGAGTGTAACTTGAGGAGTTATCCTGATCCTGAGAGAGCCATCCAGCTTTCCAGAAAGAGGCCAGTAAAAAGTGGGGAGGACTAAAGTTAAATTGGGAATGCTGAAGGGGAAGTTGATGCCTGTAAATATGCCTTCAAATTTTATTTCAGATTTCAGTCTTTACATATGTCCGAGAGTGGACTCAAGGTTGGGCCGCTCGTGTCACAGTGACTTCTTGGGATATCCGGAACTCCTTTTTTTCAGAAGTAGGTGTATTGGGGCTACAAGAAGACGAAAACTAGAAACACCTGAAAAAGTGATAGAGTATTAACTTAATAAGTTGTATTAATTAAATCTAATAAAAGCATTGATAATTCAAATCCTTCAATAATCCCAAGTTTTCATTTTATCGGTAAATTCCTACCATTTTCCATGTCGTCTCTTAGAAAATGTTGTAAATGTTTCCTCTTGAAGTGAAAAAGTGTCCAACAGAAGGGAGAAAGAAAAAAAAATAAATTTCTGGGAAAACTGACACACACTTGAAAATTTACTTTTGAACGATTAAGAATTGGATCTATTCCTATGAAAGTAAAGCAAAAACATCAATAAATCCACTGTGGGCTAGAAGGTCTAAAATTTTCTCTAAACAGCAACATGCATTCATTGTGTTTCTCTTTGTGCCCTACATTCAGTTTACAGAGAGACCAATATACTCTACTCTGGAAAAGTTCTTTGCATTCCATGCAACCCTTGTTCAAATTTCCCTTTAAAGAAGAAAAAGCACCGCTGAAGAGAGATCCTTGTCGTAACCTGTCCTCAAAGGATAGGTGGTATCCTAGCAGCCTGCAGATCAGCAGGAATCGATCCAGCAGATCGGTCATTCAGTGTACTTTAGAGATGAGAAGATATTCAGGAAATCAGACCTTATGGATTGTCATAAGAGATAGCCTGAGGCTGAGTATGTCACACAGCACCAAGGAAATAAGGCAAAGTACACACTAGGTTGAAGGAGCAATTTGGTTTTCAATTACCTGGTGAGAAGTGACTAATTAAAATGAAATAAAGAGGAAAGTGTTCTCAAGTTACATATCCAGTAGACCCTTGAACAACTTGGGTTTGAGCTGTGCAGGTCCACTCAAACGCAGATTTGTTTTCAATAAATACAATACAGCACTGTAAATGCATTTTCCCTTCCTTATGATATTCTTGGTAATTCCTCTAGCTTATCTGATTGTTAGAATACAGTATATAATACATACAACACACAACGTATGTGTTAATTGGCTGTTTATTAGGCTATCAGTACAGTCAAGTTTTGGGGAGTCAAAAGCTATATATGGGTTTTTGACTTAGCCTCCTCATCGTTCGAGGGTCGACTGTGTATTACACTTACCTACCAGGGAGATGTGAATGCTACGAAGATCTAATAGGCAATGATCGACAGCAGGGTGTGTGCTTACTCAGAAGCAGGAATAAATGGAAATGCAATCATGTTGAGGCAAAGGTGAAAACTAACTTACTCTTCCTGTTTCAACAGATATGTCCCAAATCTCCTCATCAGTGAATCACGAATATTTTGATTTCTAACAGCCTAATTTGTGAATTTCCCCTTACCTCCTTATAGCCACAAAACCGCCGGCTAGCTAGACTTCGGAGCACATGAGAAATATACCTTCTAAAATGTGTGTTTTGTTCCAATTAAGTACGTGCAGGGAAATAACACTAATTGATCTTGGTAGGAAAGCTTTGAATTAATGAAATATCTGAATTAAATTTATTTTAGAAGTGAGGTTTTATAACTTTTCTATACTTAAACTATTTGGAGTTAGGCTCGCAATATGTTGCTTGCTAAAATGGCACTCAGGGGACCTATTTAGTGGATGCAGAAAATGATTTTAATTATACATACCAAATATTTATATTTAGATCGCAGCTGCAAATTGTTTGGAAAAGTTATTTACGCTTAAATTGCTTAAAAATTCTATTTGCAATCTTTATAAAAGCCAAGGATTTATTTAATAAGCTCTTGCTCCTCACCCCATGAAACTTAAACACTGTAAGTGCCTAGCTAAAGAGTCATTAATTATACATTAAGGTATTCTAAATTTTCCTTAAATAGCAACTATAAGGATTATGCTCTATGAACTTTAATTAAGTCTTGTACCTTGACTGTACAAAGCTGGAACCTACATTAAATGTCCTCTTTCATGGTCACTTCATGTAAAATGTTAAAGCCTGCCTATCTCAACACTCCTACTCCCCTTTCCCACTGCCACTTTTCTCTTTAAGATTTATCATTATCTAACATACCATAGAGTTTATTTTTCTTGTTTCTTTATTGTTTGTCTCCCACTCTGGACTATAAACTCCATGAAGATAGGATTCCTTGTTTGTTCACTGCTGTATCCCTGTCACCTGGAATAGTGCCAGGAACATATTTGCTCAATAACGAATTGAACAAGTGAGGGGCACCTGGGTGGCTTAGTCAGTTAAGCATCTGCTTTCAGCTCAGGTCATGATCCCAGGGTTCTGGGATGGAGCCCCACATCCGTGCTGAGCAGGGAGCCCGATTTCTAACAAAAGCCTGATCTCCCTCATTCTGATTTCTAACAAAAGCTCGATCTCCTCCCCCCTCCCCACTCTCCCTGCTTGTGCTCTCTCTCTCTGTCAAATAAATAAATAAAATCTTAAAAAAAAAAAAGAATTGAACAAGTGAATAAATGTGATGTGTCTGAGTTTTGACATCTTTTCATATAGAACACAAACATTTATTTATTAAACACGTATCAGGTTTACTACCTGTCACGTTCTACTGAATGACAAGAGAGAAATCTGCCATAAACAAGCCAAGTCTTTTCCCTCACTGAAGATATTAACTGTGAAGATATTTACTGTGTGAGTAAACAAAAAATAATGACCATTACAGCAGAGGAAAAAGTGGCTGATTACACCTGAAAGTGGAGATTATTGAGGAATATTTCCATGTAACCTTAATATGAGTTAAATCTTCAAAGGAAGAGTATGACAACATTCCATGTCGAAGCAGGTACAAATTAATAGCTGGGAGATAGTCGGGGTTATGCAGTTTTTCAAATTTTACTCAATCAACTGCCCTGCTATAAGCCTAAAATGCAGTCATCCTGCCCTTAATCTTATCCCATAGTTGAATCAACTTGATTGTTTCTTCTCCGTACCAATCCCCTGTAATGCAATTATCTTCTCCAGTTAATGTGAGCAAGCACGCGTGAGTGCACACACAGCACACACACACGCACGAGATCCAAAGATTTTTGTGATAAATTCCTTGACACTTTTAACAAGTAAAAATAGCAGATAGCTTTCTCTCTGCAAATCTGAAATTTTCATTTTTTAAAAAAAAGCTTTTTTGGGGCACCTGGGTGGCTCAGTTGGTTAAGCGTCCAACTCTTGGTTTTGGCTCAGGTCATGACCTCAGGGTGGTGAGATTGAAACCCCCTGTGGGCTCTGTGCTTAGCACGGAGTCTGCTTGAGATTCTCTCTCCTTCTCCCTCTGCCCCTCCTGCTTGTGCTCTCTCTCTCTCTCAAAATAAATAAATGTCTTTAAAATTTTTTTAAATAAAATAAAAAATAAGAAAAGCTTTTCATTACTTTCCTTAAGATGGTAAGCCTCCCCCGCCCTTTTTGGTTTCCAATATGATAAAATTTCATTAAACTAAAAAGCTATCACACTGCTTCAAGTTCATAAGAAGAAGCCAGAAAGGCTTTGAGGGAAAAATAAAATAAGATGAAATCAGAGAGGGAGACAAACCATAAGAGACTCTTAATCATAGGAAACAAACTGAGGGTTGCTGGAGGGGAGGGGGGCAGGGGGATGGGGAAACTGGGTGATGGGCCTTGAGGAGGGCATGGGATGTAATGAGCACTGGGTGTTATATAAGACTGATGAGTCACTGACCTCTACCTCTGAAACCAATAATACATTATATGTTAATTAATTGAATTTAAATAAAAAATATTTATTAAAAAAAGAGGAAACCAGAAAGACAAGAGACAGACCACCTTCCTCTAATCTGAATTGTCTTGGAAAAACAAAGGTGATATAAGCAGCCTCAAAATTAACCTATGCTTGCTGCTGGATCCTGTCCTCCTAGCCATGATAATAGGTCCCAGCCTATGGCAAGGAACTTTGTCCGGCCTATAAAAATCAAAGGCATGGATTCTGTGTGCTTTTTGCAAGTATTAAGCTGTGAGACCAAGTTTCATAAAAACTTTTGAAGGGAATTTTCCTAGTAACCAGAAAGCAACCATTTAATTGCTAAAAAATAGCAACACGACACCATTTCTAATTCCAGACTAGATTTCACTGGCCCAGATCTTATCCATAGATATTTGGAATGACACCAATTCTGTCTTTTCTTGATTGTGGAGACTTTGGGAAGCTTCTTGGCTATGGATCACCCAAAAAAAGAACAGAGAGGAAAGTATTTGAAGTTCATGCTTTGTAAGAGCTAAAACTTCTTCTAATGCTTGCTTAAACTGTGAAGCTGATTAAATAATGCTATTATACCTGCCCTATACAAACAAAAGGAAACCCTGTGAGGGCTAAAGATTTGAACCAATAACACAGGGCTTTTACAAGTGTATATCGGAGTAGAAAAAAATGACAACAGCTCTTCACTTTAATTAAAATAATGGAAGAATTAATTCTGGCTGAAGATAATACAGAGTCCAAAATGGACTATCTTAGGCAAATCTGTCTTCTGTGAGATTCCCTAAAGTCACAGGAAGCATTCCCAGGAACCTGCTGAGTGGTCACTCAATGCCAGTTTCATACCCTCTGAGCTTTCTCAATAAAAGGGAGCAGTAATGTTCCAAATTATTTTGTGTGCCCGGGGTCTGAATAAGTTTGGACTTAAGAGAGAATAACCTTCATGGATCTAATATATCTCAATGATGTGAGTTTCAATCTGTTTTTGTTTGTTTTGTTTTTTAACTTCACATAGGAAACCCAGAAGAGTTTTCATTATCTCCTTGTTCATTTCCCCTTAACACAAGGCTGAAATTGATGGCCTCCATAAAGAAGTGGGTATTAGAGAAGTTGGTGGGACAGATGTCTGTTTCTGCAAGCCCTAGCGCTTGCCTACCACATAGTGAGAAGCTTAGAGTATGTGATGAGATGCTCTGAGATGGTCATATATGACTGAGTTGTCTCCAAATATTCTAGCAGATATAAAAGTGTGATAGTTGCAGGGTAGACCAGTATAACTAACCATTTTACTCTTTTCCTGGAATCACTTGAGGAGTAATCATTCTACCAGATATCTTGTTTTTGTACCTAGCATCCATTCAACCATCTTTGTTCACAGAATTTTCACATGGAACGAGTCTTTCACTAGGACTTGAGAAAAAGAGGGAGAGGAGAGAAAAACTCTTTGTTGTTGGATATAAATCTGGAGCCAACTGGACGTGGAGTTACGTGCCCTCTTGCCATATCATGGAGCCTAACAGTGAAGTCACTCCTTAAAAGGTAAAACTGAGGGGCGCCTGGGTGGCTCAGTCAGTTAAGCGTCTGCCTTTGGCTCAGGTCGTGATTCCAGGGTCCCGGGAATGAGGCCCACATCTGGCCCCTTGCTCAGTGGGGAGCCTGCTTCTTTCTCTGCCTGCCACTCCCCCAGGTGGGCTCTCTTGCGCTTGCACTCCCTCTGACAAATAAATAAGTTCTTTAAAAAAAGGTAAAACTGAAAGGTGTAGAGCAATGAAGGTCTATTGGCATCTGCTGAGTCCTTGGGTACAGCTGTAGCTAAAACTGGTTCTACCCCTACACGTTTTGGTTAGGAGAACTAAAAAATTCCACCAAATTTTACCACTCCCTCCCCCACCTTTTTTTTTGGCTTAAGCCAAATTTAGTTAGGTTTTCCATCATTGCACAAGAAGGAGCTGATACAGATGGAGAATAACTGAATTGTCAAGATCTATTCCAAAATTAAAGTTCCCAATGTTCTGAGGATAATTACATTATAAACTGGGTGTGGTGTGTTTCACAAGCAAAACTGAAATCTGAAATAAAAATAATATAAAACCTCAATTAAGTTTGAGGATACATTTTTAAGAATTTACAGTGTTCGACTATTGGAACTATTTTGTAAGACAGATGGATGGATAGATAGGTAGATAGACGGAGCTTACCTGGAGGTGTTAGGTTATCCTGGTGTTGCTGTGATATCTTAGTCCTTGGAGAGATGGTTTTATATGGTTTAAAATCTCCCTTTCTTGACAGAACATGGAGTATTGTCTTGAATGTATTGTGAATGCCTTCATTCTCATGATGTGTAATCACATGTTTTTCCTTTCTAGATTATAGTGGTATACTATAACAGTACAACCTCTTAATAAGAGGTGCTAAGTATCACTTTGACTGATAGGTTGCTTTTAGCATTTATGGGTACAGTGAAATTTAAAACTACACAGAGAAAATCTGTAGTGGGTGGTGACCTTTCAGGGGTAGTGCTGAAATCTGGTTCATGATTAAAGCAGGGTGTGGTTAAGAGGGGCAAGTATGGAAAATTCTCTTTTGGCAACTTGGTAGAGATGGGGGGTTAAATTGTTGAAACAGCCACAAAAATCTGTTGCCAGAAGAGAAAAATAAAGTCTAACAGCAGCCTTAAGCTGTGCCAGGCACTGTGTTAAGTGCTTTATGCGTGATCTCATTCAATTCTAAAAGCGATGTAGATTTCATATTACTCCGCACATGTTACAGATGAGGAAGTGAAAGCAGAGAGGTTAAATAATTTGTCCAAAGTTTCACAGGTAACCGGTGGTGAAGGGTAGGTTTGCAGGCTGGTCTGTCCAATTCCTAGCCTCGTGCTCTTTCCAACTAAATGATAGCTCATCCCCATTGGCACTTCTCTGATCTTAAAGATTCGTAAGCATTTCTCTGCTCTCTTATATGCACAGGATTTTTTTTTTACTCCACTAATTCTCAGGTCAAAATCTCCTCTGTTCAAAAATCAACATTCATGAAATATTGACTTACAAACATGGAAAAGTGTGTTCAATTTCCTTCTTCTCTGTTCCTTGGTCTGGATTATCACGAAATGGCTTTTTTTTCTTTTCTCACCTGCCTTTGAATTAAAAACAAATACCATTTAATTTTTTAAAGCACAAAATCTCAATGTCCTTTCCTGACTCTGTCAAGGAACTTTTTTACAGCAGTGAATATTTTCAAAAGACTCTAAAATTTAAAGAAGATAAAAACAGGATCTGTCTGTCTGTTGCTCAAAGTCTCCTGATAAGATCACTGTTTAAGAGGGGCAACTTCCTAGAAGGAATTCACCCTCATAGCTACTGTGGGATGGGTTAAGTGATGCTTGACCTTGTCTGAGGAATGGCAAATGCACATGTCTGTAAATGTCTTATACAGGATACTTGGGGGGTCTATTTTTACTTAAAACAGGAACACATTCTGGTCTAGGAAAATACTGGTTAATATTGATGTGTCTAGAGAGAAGTGAGCATCTTGGGCAAATGGAATCAATTTAATAAAGATTTCATATTGGTTAAGGTAGACTGATTTTTTTTTTCTGTTACTGGTTAAATTTTTAAAGCATCTCTAAACACTGGAGTTTTTTTTTTTTTTTTTTTTTTACATTAAAACTAGAGAACCTGGAAGTTTGCCATTTCTCAAAATCAAAAAGAAAGTTAAAAAACATATTAATTTTGAGACATAAAGGCTTACTATTGCTGACCATTCAGTTATCATGCCCAAGTCATCTACCTTTCCATTCATACATGGCCTACTTCTTAGGCCAAGAAGTAAGTACTTTCCTAAAACTAGTATGTGCCTTGAACATAAGACTTTTGGAAACAAACTCCCCTCAAACAGTTAAATACTTGGAAGAAAAGTAAGAGGCAACTTTTAAGAACTTGAATAACAGAGGAACTTTGAGGACAGGTAGCTCTGATGTTGGGGAAAGTAGAATCCAGTTTCACTCTGTCCAGTAGGAGCCTCAGTGCAGAGAAGAGAGAAGGGTCTGCACATGGATCTCAGGCCAGCCAGGTGCCCTGGAGTGAGAACACAGGGTTGGGAAACATCTTTCTGCAAATTTCTCACCAGGTAAATAGCATGCAGCCCACCTCTGAGAATATGTGGCCGGAGAACATTCCTTGTCCTAGCTGGCCACAGCTCCCATGCTGGTAGGCAAGGGTGCTTAATGTATCATTCAAATGTGGTCATATTATGGAAAGCAATAACTACTGAGAGAGCTATCACCAAGCCCTGCATTAAGGCAATGGTGAATCTGGCATGGTTGCCATGATAATCCTCCTGGCAGAACAATAGAAATCCTATCACTATTGTTAAATAGTGCTGGACTCTGGGTTGCTTTTTCTCTCAGGAGTTATTTTCATGTTTCCTTATAGAGGCTCTTTAAAATTTTTTAAAAGAGGTGTAAGGTGTTAGATTTAAGAAGGGAAATAGCTGATAAGAGATGAATCTCGTTAGGATGAGATCCATACTTGATACAAAATTCAGTCTTCAGAAGAAAGATGTAGCCGGGAATATACGGCATAGAGGAGTCAAACCTCTGCTGAAAATGTTTCTACGTGCAGATAAAACCAAGGGCGAAAGCCCTTAGTCTCATCACTCCATGCCATTTAAAAAATTAAAAGAGAGAGAGAAAGGGATAGGAAAATGTGATACTCTTTAAGGCAGTCATGTGCCAGGAAATGAGCAGCTTTATAGTGATAGATCATTCTATTCTAGGCATCCTTCTCAGATATTGAGAACAACATTATCTGACCCATGGCCAGCACACAAATGACTGCCCATCTATCTGAAGTAATCATCCAACTTTCACTCAACAAGTAAATGTTTCAATATTGCCTATTAGTGGTTCATTAATTGCATTTCAAACAGGATTTTCAAATGAAAAGTCTGGACATAAGTCATTAATTGAGGCTCCCTTTAGGGAAAGGAATGATGACAAAAAAAAAAGACAACAAAAAACAGAGAAATTGGAAGTCCCATTCAATGACCTTAAGCATATGGATACAGCTTTTAGTCAATGCATTTCAGAAAAAAAAAGGAGAAAAATCTGCTCTAGAATTTTGTTGTTTGCATCCTAGACTTTGTCAAGAGCCACACAGGAGTTTCCTCTTATCCAGGCTTGGTGCAAATCAGCATCACATCAATAGACTGAATTGTTCCTCTGTGGTGTGAATAGTTCTCCAGGACTTGGAGAAGGAGTATAAACAGGAGGGTCTGTGATATGCTAAGAGCTGAGTAGGATCCTTTGTAAATATATATTTACTCTGCAGAATTTCTGTTGTAGACACAGGGCTGTTTGGGATAAAGGAGGAGTAGCTGGGCCTCTACCTCAAACTCAAAACAAGATCTCTTTCAAACTACAAAAATATTTGGTTAAACATGCTCTTAAAATCTCTGTATTTTGAGATCAGGTCGGCCAGGCCATCAACAACAGTGATTAAGTACCTACTGAGTACAGTTTACTAATGAGTTCAGGGTTCTAGGAAGAATTATAAAGAAAGCAAATATCCAGTCCTTGTCCCTTGAGAGCTTATGGCCCAATAAAAAAAAAAAAAGAAAAAAAAAAGGACTACCACATAATTGTTTACAAGAAATGCTAAACTAGAGCAGGTTTTCAGCCAAATTGCTAAAATACATTTCCAAAGCTATTTGATCAGCATGCTTGTTGGTAGAGTCTTTCCTTTCAAGGATCCCTCCCTGCCTGCTCTGTGTCTTCCACCAAATCTCACAAGGGACACTCAGGAGTCATGTGCTCCAGGACACCACCCACAGGACATACCCGTGCACTGTCAGGGCACGGCCAAAAGCCGGTGTGTTCTTGACTGGGTATTCACGGTATCTTCCTGGCTGGTAGGAGTCATTACTGCATTACCATTGTAAGTCAAACGAAGTTGCTATTAACCTCTGAGTCTGGAAACCAATACAGCATTGATGGTTGATCGCGCTTTCTAATTATTTGAAGAAGACCATAGCCATGTCAGTGTGCAGATGGAATGGCAGATTTTCGACACAAATTTTTTTCTGTCTCTTGTTTTTTAACACCCAATTTGTTTACTGGTTACTTTAATCAAGTTAACATGGACTAAGGAGAATAGAGATGGCAGTGATTATGCAAAAAGGAAACTTGTGACTCACATCACAAGTGCCAGAATCTTACATTTGGGTGGGACGTTATAATTATTCGAACCATACACTTCCCTTCACCTGGGGTCACCCCAGACCATTGAGACTTCTCTCTTTGCTATACTTATATATATACACATATCTTTATATATTTTATATGTGTATATATCTGTGTGTGTGTAGTGCATATATATACAATTGTGGTGGGCAATTGCATGAGTGTGTGTGCACTGCATGTTTATAGAGTTGTGGGATAGTTACATTGGTGGATCCCAATGAAGCATGCCTCCCCCGCTTGTATTCTTGCCCTTGGATTGGCCACACCCATGTGGATTCTGGGCTCACTGAGACATAGTCAAGCATGATGCAGACAGAGGCTTGATAACCACTGGCACATCGGGGCTTATTATCTGGGAATGTTGGCTGTTGGAGCCCTGAGCCACAGTGTCTAGCAATTCAGTCTGCCAGGGAGACTCCTGGAGAGAGAAAGATGCCTAGTCAGCCCTCACCATTCCAGTCATCACGTTGAGGGACCCCACATGTGAGTGAAGCAGCACCCTTAAACAGTTCAGCCCTTGTCCAATCAAACCTGGTAAATCCACAGAATTAGAAGAACAATAAAATATTGTTGTTTGAAGCTCCTAAATTTGGGTAAGTGGTATGTTAAATAGTAATAATTAACTGAAACAACCATGTGTGTCTGTGTATGACTTCTAGAGAAATGCCCCAAGTTTGCTCTTCTATTTGTTTTTTTTAATTATAGAATATTTAATAAGTAAGACAAAGTAAATAAACCTTGCCTGTACATTTTAACATAATTAACAAATAATTGTAAAGCGAACACCTATGTGACCACTACCAGGTGAAGAAACAGAACATTGCTAGAACCCCAACCCAGCCCGTCTACTCTTCCCTCATCATAACTGCTCCCCACAAGCATCATGGTCTTGCTATTTGTGACATTACTTGTTTAGCTTTTCTTTATAGTTTTGCCACTAATTCATACATTCTTAAACATTATGGTTCATTTTGCCTGCGTTGAACTTTCTACGAATGGAGTCACTTTGTATGCACTCTTTTATGACTTGCTTCACTTGCTGAATTTGTATTTGTGATTTCTATCCATGTTGGTACACGTAGCTCTAGTTAATTCATTGTTACTGCTGCATAGCAGTCCACTGTGTGAACATAACACGGTTTGTTTATCCATTCCACTCTAAGTGAACATTTGAGCTGTTTCTGTGAGCCCCTGCTGTATGGACATGCTGCTCTAAACATCTTTCT